GAATTAAATTGGCTCATTATATTGAATCAGAGCATTAAATACAGTTCATACAGTTCTTGTTTTCACTAAGCTCTTATACAATGAATGTGTTCTGAGATAAGGAGCGTGATTGTGGTTTGGTGGTGCAGATCTTTATGCTTGGAAGGCCCGCAGAGCAAAGGTAGTCTTTTTATGTTTCGGGGCCAGTATCGCGGTTGGGTTTCTCTCAGCTTTGATTGGACCAGATGGTCCTTCCCTATGCCTCTCTGACCTTCCCACAGTTACCATTTTGTCATCTGTTGAAATACTTTCTTGACCAACTTCTCAGCAGGACAGATGGCACAATTGGTTGGAGTTGCAGAAATGTGGGATATATCGAGAAAAAAAAACAAAAAAAAAACATGGCAGATAGTCTGTGCTCTCAAAAGACCATCATATATAAGGAATGCTTCTTTGCTTGTTTTTGTAAATGCGTACGTTTCTTTTGAATTTATTTTAACACGGCATATGTTCTGTACATGTCTGCATTGGCACAGACATCTATGTACAGTAACGCAGCAGATGGTAGCAATAGACCTTGTAAGAATTTAAATGGGTTTGTTTGTTGGAGACCTAAAACCTTTCACAAACAAGAGGGGACTGAAAGAACTGACACTTGAACTCCTGTTAATTCCAGGAACAACCTGCATGTTTATGAGGTTGTTACAAAAAATGGCATCAATAGCAGAGAGTGGGCCTCGGCTGGCTCTGCATAAACAAATTGTGTTTGTCTTGTTTTGATTTCATGTAAAAGTGCATCAGTAATAGAGACCAATTTGTTTATGGTCTGTGTTGTTCATTGGAAGGTGTGACAGCTTGGCTCCTGTGTATGTAACCACAGCCTAGTATCAATGTCTGTTAGCACAGTGCATGTTTGCATTTGTGTCATGTGCCTGTGTGTTAGCTGTATGGGAGTGAGCACAAATGCATGATGGCATGTGAGATTCTTAGTCCTTGTTCACTGAGCCATTGTGGGATGCACACATTGGCAGAAACTAAGCAGCTTACTCAGAGGCAGAGAGTGATGTAATTAAGAATTTAACTGAGTAAAATAACTATGCTAATATTTGAACTTTCTGAGCATGAGGAAAGTAAAAAGGCTGCTTCTTGTCCACTGTTTGGGCAGGATAAAAAGCTTTTGTTTAAAGATTTTGTGCACAGTGTCGATCACATGAATATATGCTGTATGAATGGCATGTAAATATTTATCCAGTTTGAGGCTCCACACGTTTAAGTTTTGTTGCTGCACGGCTGTATTTGCACTTATGAAAAATGTTTGTACAGTGACTTTCAGTGACTGTTGCAGAGTGAAAACGCCCTACTGTTTGGACAGGGAGAAGAAAGTGTGTTTTAATTGAGGGTTTACTGGCTAATATCTGTGCAGTGTTACTGTGTGTGTGTTTGCTACATAGTGAGTACCAAAAATGCATTTTTGTTTTTTGGTTATAGAGCAAGGACATTTTTTCTGGTCCTCACTTTCTGAAACACCTTTTTGAGGGTTAAGACTTGGTTTTAGGGTTCAGTTTAGAATTAGGTTTGGGTTAGGGTAAGGATAAGTGTTATGGTTAGACATTTAGTTCTGGTGGTTAAGGTTAGGGGAAGGGGCTAGGGAATGCATTATGTCACTGAGTGTCCTCACAAAGATAGAAGTACAAGTGTGTGTGTTTTAGTATCCTCTTTCCTCCCATGGTGGAGATGTGAATGTCCTGTTAGGAACAGGAACAGCTCAGTAAACACAGTTGTTTACTATGTAATCCATCTGAAACTGGATTTGGCTTTCAGCAAACTCACCACACTGCACTTCTCTACAACCATTATTTGGTGCACATCTGAGCTTTTGAGCTGGAGTCATGTTTCTTGCATTTCACATACTTGGCAATAAAGTTTATGATTGATTAATAGATTTTTTTTTTCTTGTTTGTTTTGTGTGTGTGTGTGTGTGTGTGTGTGTGTGTGGTGGGAGTAGACCATGTTCTGACTGAGTTACAAAGGTATGAAAAAAGTGCAGCTGTTCTCATGCATTTTTATGGGGGATTGTGTTCACCACAGTCAACTCCAGCACCGCAATGGGCTTCAATGAACAAGTTTGATCTAGTTCAACTTTCACCACGCCAGACGGTGACATCATCCAGCAAAGGCACCGCATTGACTAATCATATACGGGGATGATCGGGAACGTGTACACCCACGGGAAGAAGACTTTTGTTTTTCTCGTTAACATGACCATTCACTGCTATTCACTGTTGAATTTGAGCCACAGTTAACACACCACAGAAGACATAGTGCGTTCATTTTATAAATTTAAAATTGTAAGTAAGCAGTTCAGAATGCTCAGAGGTTTTGCTGCTACATCCTTATTTGACCTAGCATGACCAGTAGCTGTGGTTGGCTACTGCAAACTTTAAGTAGATTATGCTGTGTACGC